TATTCTAATTCCAATTTATTCAGTGGACTGCTGCTGCAATGATTCATAAATGAATGCAACTTCTTCCCTCAGAGGGACTAAGGAAACTATATTGTTTTTTATACATTGTGTGGGGAACTGCTGTTATTTTGGTGAGGGTTCACATTGAGGAGTCAATTGACTTCAGCTTGGGCTAAGGGTTACAGTCACGGTTAGGCTGTAGAAATTACTGGAAATAGGCCCCACAAAGATAGTCAGACTAGTTTGTGTGCATGTGTTTGTGTAAGATTTTATGTGGGACAGAGAGTTGGTTAACCATTGTATATCCAAAATGTAATAAAAATGTGTGTTAAAGGTATAGTGTAGGATTTTTGCGAATTTTTGAAAAGACAAAAAAAAAAATGCACATGCCCAACCCTGCACCTGCTCCTGAGAGAGAACGCCTGTTAAAGATGTGCAAGAGCATGCAGGAGCCCATTTCTCCTTGTACATGCTTTGTTTAAAAGTTGCTGTTTGCATTGCTCATACAAGCTTAGTTTGCAAAAGAAGATTTGCAATTATTCCACTACGTCAGACTCACATTATGAATTACCTCTCCTCTCGAACACTGATGAGAAAACGGATTCAAAATAAGGAATGAAAAGGGAACTTCTAAACATATTCTTAATATTTTCATAGTTGTTATACATGGATGCCCTAAAATTGAGAGTTTTGGTGGACAGATAAAAGCAGAGAAATACCTGCCTGCAGAGAATTTTCTACCTTCTCGCACATGGATGAGAAAACGGATTGAAATATTAACGAAAAAGGGAACTTCTACACATATTCTTGTTGTTTTGTCAGAATTCTATCAACTGAGCAGAGAATAAATTCATCTGACACTGACTGCAGCACATCGACTAAAACTTGTCTCCATACAAGTAAAAATCGTATATTCTTTCAAATGCATCTATCCATCAGAACTCTAAATTTTAGGGTATCCATGCATAGGCACTATGAAAACACAGAATATGTTTAAAAGTTTCCTTTTTGTTCATGTTTCAATCCAGTTTCTCATCAGTGTGTGATAGAGGAGGTATTTCTCGGCATAGGGTTAGTTGAAAGGGGACCAGGATGTAGAACAGCCTTACGTTAACATATCCTCTACTATATCTAGAATAAAAGAAGACCTCCAGTTTACAGAATTGTAATTTGTGATTTGATTAAAGAGACAAAAATGTATTATTTTCTCAGCAATAAAAGCACAGATAATGAAACATAAAAGCATATTTGCTTCCTCGAGTGATTCAAAAAAAAAAATGCCATGACAAAGGGTGTAACTAAGATGATGGGAAGTCAAGGTAAACCTGAAAGATTACATTCTTACAGGAAACAGCTTTAAATGTCATTCCTTAGACTGAGCCATGCTGATCATTCGGAAGCTTGAAGCTCGCTAACACCGAGAGCAGCAATGGAACCTCGTGGACTTCAGTTGGATCAAGAAACTTTCTCCTGTCCGATTTGTCTGGAGCCAATGATGGACCCAGTGACTATTCCCTGTGGACACAGTTATTGTAGGGTCTGTATTAAAAGACACTGGGATACAGAGAATCTGAAAGAAAACAGCTGCCCTCAGTGCAGGAGATCCTTTAAAAGGAGGCCTGATCTGGAGAAAAACACCATCTTAGCAGCTTTAGTGGAGGAACTAAAGAAGACTGGACTCCAGGCTGATCCTGCTGATCACTGCTATGCTGGACCTGAAGATGTGGCCTGTGATTTCTGCACTGGAAGAAAACTGAAAGCCGTCAAGTCCTGTTTAGTCTGTCTGGCCTCTTATTGTGAGAAACACCTTCAGCCTCATTATGATTCAGCTACATTTAGGATACACAAGCTGGTGGAGCCCTCCAAGAACCTCCAGGAGAACATCTGCTCTCAACATGATGAGGTGATGAAGATGTTCTGTCGTACTGATCAGAAGTGTATCTGTAGTATTTGTTTAATGGACAAACATAAAGGCCATGACACAGTGTCAGCTAAAGAAGAAAGGACTAACAGGCAGAGAGAGCTGGAGGAGAGATGAGGAAAAATCCAGCAGAGAATCCAGGACAGAGAGGAAGA